CTTCTCCTTGGCGCTGCCGGTAGAGCCGGTCGTGTTCCCCCGCGAGCACGGCAGAAATAAAACGCCACTGTAGAGATGGAGCCTCGAGAATTGAGTTCATTTTCAAATTTAAAAAAGAAAAAATATATATCTTCAAGCCCGGTCACCCTACGGAGACTTTCACTTTGCGGCCCAGCACCTCATGCTGTCACAAGCCTTAAGTTTACGGTGAAGGATAACTCCTACTTTGAGCACTTGATGCACTTTGCGTGTGATCCGTCTTGCTATAATCCCCTCCTCGCTTAGGAGGCACCTCTCAGATGCTGAAGACGTTATTAAATAAAAATACAGGGAAACATATTTGTTTTTTCCAGTTGGAATAAACGGAAAATAAAATGAAAGTCCCATGGATTTCACACGTCCATTGTGAACGTAGACTCTGGGAGTTCTTCTTTTTCTGACTTTGAGTAAGATTTAGAAAGCCTCAAAACAAATTCCAGTTTCTTGCAATGGCAAAAGATGCAAACACTTTGAGTATTGATAACCCTTTAAATAGCAGAGGGTTTAGTGAGGTTTTCTTTGTAGCTCTTTGCAACTCAAGATTCCACATGGCTGTGAAGCTGTAGGGTCATGGTGCTCCCGAAATATAACACACTAGCAGAATAATACTAGTTAAGGTAGTATTGAAATGAGCTCCTCGCAATACCAAAGAAAAGTGTGGAGAAGTCAGACTTTCTTTTCATTTATTTTTGTAGATAATTTAAGGTCTTGATCCATCTGGATTAAGATCTTGAAATACAACTGACTGCCTTCAAATGATGCTTCTCCTGACAAGCTGATATAGGAAACTTAGTTCCCTCAACATCTGTCTTTCTGATTTAATGTAGTTGAGTAGGTCACTGAGAACTGATTTCTCTGCACAGTTTCAAAGTGTATTTATTATCACTTGTTAAACTTCACAACAGTCCGCAGTTGAGGTGCCTTTGGTGGTTGTATGATTTTGAGAAGATCTTGGAAGGTCTCCATTGAGATCTCTTTTAGTTACAGGGGTGGTATAGGCAAAACAGGAAAACTTTTATTTTGTCTTTGAATATTTGTTACGATACCGGTAGCAAAGGCACCTCATCAGTTTAAAACTGCTGGTATCGCCTTTTGCCTGTTAAAGTGTTGAAGTTTCAGGGGTTTTGTAAACCGCAACAGAAGTCAAGTTGCTCGTGCCTATTAAGTGCTGGGAACTTTTTATCAGAAAAAGGTCTGAACTCTAACAAGGAGAAAGAAAAACCATGCTAAACAGTCTCGAGTGGCTTCTGTTACATCTTCTCTTTATGCAGGCAAGAAGTCCAAAGTCTTGTACCCGTGAGGAACACGCTTGTCTCAGTTTGATGCTGAAATTCAGATACAATTTGCAAGCTGCTCTTTCTAAGTCCAAAAAGGCTGTGAGAGCCTCAGCTTTGCTTAGAACGCTCTAATTTTGCTGTGGCATTGCAGGTGCCAGTGAAAGCGTGGGGAAGCACATGCTCGAGGCGTGCAACAACAACCTGGAGATGGCTGTCACCATGTTCCTGGATGGAGGGGGCATAGCCGAGGAGCCCAGCACCAGCTCCGCAGCGGTGGCCGCTGTTCGGCCGCACACAGAGTACGTACCCGAGGGGCCCTCTGGGGACGAGCGGGCTGTGTGAAGAGCTCACAAACAAGCTCTTGTCTACAAACAAGTAGAACAAACACAGCAGTCGTCACTTCTCCTAGCTACTGCTTTGAGGATCTGGTTTATTTGCTCGCTCCAGTATTGTTCTTATTAAAGAAGCTGTTCTGGTAGCCGAAGAACAGGAGGAGGCATCTGGGCAGCTTGAACCTCACTTTGACTGGGACAGATCTTAACTTTAACTGTCAGTTCATTATGTTTCAGTGATGCTTTGGCCTCAGCATCCTGCTGTTTTACGTATAAAACACAACATGTGCTTGTCTTCTGTCAGCCTTTTTATGAGTAGTACTTTCTGCATTTTTATTATTTATTACAGATCTCTCTCACATGTGCTTCAGAAGCGCCACGCAGCTCATACATCTTGCGTTGGCAGGCGGAGATCAAGGCATTAATGTGGAGACAGTGCCAAGAGTTTCTTGCTTTTAAATTGCCTCAGCAATCCAGACCCATGATGGTTTATTAGCCAGAAAGAATTGAATTGCTTTGGTCCTCGTAAACATAGTGACCTCAGTCCTGTCTATGTATTTGTGTATATATAGTCATAACTGCAGCTAGATTTGGCCCTGAAAGGGTTAGATAATTCCAACTACTATAGAGAAATAAGCAACTACAAAATCTGCATTAGTGTCTCCAATGAAGGACAGAGTTGCTCTACTTGAGCCTGGCAGACAATCTTTCAGTGCTGCTTCTTAGCTTGCCTGCTTGGGGTACATAGAGTATTTTGGGATGGAAGCTGATCAGGATCAGTCGCATTCCTCAAGTGTTCTTTCTTCTTTATGGAAACCTCTCCTTTTGAGGAAAAGGGAACTTACTTTTAAGGAAATGCCTTGCCACTCGTACTTCTGAAGCACATATATGAGTTTTAGCAGCTGTTTGGATACTAACCTTTAAAATCAACATTAAGTGCCTTCCTGCTTGACCCTTTGGCCCATAATGACGTTCAAACTCTGTGTCTATAGGTATCAGTGTTCTTAATTCTACAACTGCTGGCACGTCAGTGACTTAAGATTCAAGTTTTTATTGGAATCCTCTTTTTTTATACTTGACACCCTCCAGGTGCTGGTCAGCTTAGTGTTACTTCTAGGAAGACAGAGACATAAATATGCAAATGCAAAATGGAGAATAACTAGCCTCACAACAGCAATCAAAGATGTGGAGGTTAATAGCAAGGTTAGTGCATCTTGCTGATGTTACGAGTTACTTAATGAGTTACTTGACACCTGTGTGACCAAGAGCCAGAGGCCACACACTTTAGACTTTAGAGAGCTTAGGGAAGGGGGCATTTTAGGAGTAGTTCCTAGGTAAGATATAACGGTGGATTTTCCTGGGTGAGCCCATGACCTCCACTTTTTAAGATCCATGGGTGAGGTGACTGCACTAAATACATGATACTATTTCATAGCCCTTTTTTGTTTCTTGTAGTCCTGATTTCAGATGATCCAGCAGTCTCTGTGGACATAGCTGAACTCTTGATTACGTCAAGCAGCCCAGCTATGAAAGCAGAGGATAACATTGGGGGGGAAATGTCCATCATTGCTCTAGCTTACTCGTTTGTTCATCACCCATGTGGTGGTAACCCGCAAGGTGGGCTATCTTAACTGTAAAATACATTATATATATTATATATATATAGGCAAATTTGAGAATCCACAGGAGAAGGAAATTTAGGAAAATTAACTTTTTTTTTTTTTTTTTCTCAGAGGACATGGTTTTCCTTCCTCTGGAAAACAGAGGGTTATGAGTGAGAAGTGGAAGGAAGAAGTCTTCCAACAGGAGAAAGCTTGTAATAAGAGGGATAAAAAATGTATATAGTTTTCCCCCTATCTAAATAATCAGGGGAGGAGGGTTGTCAGATGATTAATTAGCAGTATAGACATTTAAGAAAGTTGCTACAGGAAAAAAAAATCTGTTTCATTATTAAAATCATAAAGCCTGGGATCAATTCATCGAGGCATGTGTGTAATCATTTTCTTTCAAGGCTTTTAAAGATCATCCATGCCAGATCTTAATGCAGATTGTACAGAGTCCTGCCTCAGTGCCATGAGTGGGAATAGATGGTCTTTTGAGGTCCCTTTTGGCCTTTTGGTTTATATTGCCTTGGAACATTATCATCTCTCTAATTTTTTTTTCCCCCCTCTATGTTAGGGATGAAGTACGAGCTCCCATTCCTCAAAAACAAGAAATTTTAGTTGAGCCTGAGCCCTTGTTTGGAGGTAAGCCTGTGTTCTTCTGTTTCTGTATTTTCTTTAAATAATGTGAGATGAGCCAAGTGAGATAAGAAAGATGCAACTCTCTGAAAATGAAGAAAGCCTTGCATGTATTTTTGTTCTTATTTTTCCCCTGCACTCTTGAGGTGCAGAGCTGTGTGGTACTGCTGTAAAAGTAGTCAAGATGGTAGGGTAAAAGCTTGAGGTTTCACTGACAAGTGAAAATGGGCAGTGTGAAGAGGACGTGTGCTTGCTTCTCAGGCAAGTGGGAGAGTTAGAAAGAACACCTGTGATTGCTCAGAGCTTCCTCCATTTCTCCTTTGGGAATTTTATTTGGTGTTCCCTCTCTTTAGGATGTTCCTCTAGCCTTATGAGGCTCCATCTTTATGGTACCCAGGCAGTTTCTAGCCATCTGCATGGCTTTTCCCATTCCCAGATTCCAAGGACTGCCCTTTGTTGCTTGCAAGTGCTTATCTTTAAGGCAGCCTCATACATCCAGCTTTTTTGTTTTCTGTTGTTTAATTCCTGTGCTAGAGAGGAGCAGGATGTGAAACTTCACATTTAACCCAGAATTGGATTTGGTCCTTTTGCCAACACAAGAGTGTTTTTTTCTTCAGTATAAACAAGCTTAGAGGTGGTTCTGGAGGAAGGTCTCTTTGAAGATACCACATTGTCTTGTTTCTCTTGCTTTCTTTGTGGCTCGACAGTTTTTGACAAAGGTCTCCAGAATCCTGGAGCACCGGAATAAGATCTTTGCACCCTTTTACTTGTTCCTCTCTACCCAGCTGTCACACACTGATCGCAGGCACACTCTCCCTCAGGGGTGGCTTCCTGGACTTTCTCATCTACCAGTGGTAATATCCTCATTAAGGCTACCTCTGTTCATAGCATGAAGCAGCCTGATGACTCCACTGAAAACAGAAGGTCCCTTCAGCTCGGGCTTCAGGTGGAGGACGTTCCAGTTTCTGGGTTTCACAGCATCACAGAAGAAAGTTCACGTCCTTTTCCAAGCTGCAGTTTGAGTTGCTTGAACGTTGGCTCTCATGGGTTGTGCTTGTAGCTAAGTATTAAGAGGAGAAAGGGATGATACTCACATGAGTTAGAGGTGTTTCACACAGGTGTGTTCCTCTTACGTATTTGCTTTCAGTTGTCTTGACTTGAGAAGAATGAATTGAGAACAAGACTTGTGTTCTGTTCTTTATACTGCTCGTGTGGAGCAAGGTGAAAGATGCTGCATGCAAAACCAGGAAGATCTCTAAAAACAGGGTTTGGAGGAACTTGCTTTCTGAACAGAGCATAGGTCCTTCTTTCTCCTAGTAAATATATATATATTTTTCTTTACGAGTTTTCGGTGTGCCTATGTTGTATTTCTCTTGCTCTGTTTAACTTATTTGATATTTACCAAGCCTTATAACAATTAAGGCTTGAAGCTACTATTTTAAAATTATTTTTCTTTCAATTAGTGGAAATTAAGAGCATCTGGAATAAGTTTTGATGGGTAGTTTTGTTTTGGGCCCCAAGAACAGCTGTTGTATGACAGGACTTCAATCAAAGTCATTAGCTGGTGTTTTCAGAGGCCTTTTAGGCCTGCCTGGATCCCTGTCTGTCTCTACCCAGCTGCAAATAATCTGTTCTGAAGATCTTCTTGCAGATAACAATACCTGGATCTGTTGGAGGAGCTTTTCTCTTGCCAGCCCAGCCAAGAATTTGGGATAGGATCCAGAGGAAAGATGAGATAGGAATAGAAGTGCCTTGCAGGGAGAAACGTGTCTCTGTTAGCAAGGGAAATTTTGGGGTGCACGATGAGCCCGGCAGAGAGATCTGACTTTAATGTATCAGTGATTTATGTTTTGCTTCTAGGGTGAGGTTTTTCTGGGGGGAGGATATGATAGAAAAGACGGGGACTTAAAAACAGCCAATTTCCATGAGTCTTCAGGTCTTCATCCCTCCCTCGTGTATGCCTTGGGTTCCTATTCTGTTGTCCCAAACCGGTAAAGTGAAGTGCTAATACATAATACTTTTGATAGCATGCCTTAGAAATGATCCTTGACATCCTTTTTTTTTTTTTTAAGCTCCCAAAAGGCGCAGACCTGCCCGTTCAATATTTGACGGTTTTCGGGATTTTCAAACAGAAACCAGTAAGTATGTGCAGATGGGTACGTTGGAAGTTCTGTTTTTTAGTTCAACTGTAGTTGTGAAATAGTTTCTCCTTTTGACTTGATGGTCTTCAGTCACCAAATGGTTTTAAACTGCCTGCTATACAGCAAAAGTTAGTTTGGAATAACATTATTAGGCTGGTAACTGCTCACTGGCATTTCTTTTCCACATGTTTGTGGTTCAGTTAAGGTTTGCTGTTTATTTCTGAGGGGAAATCTTAGATTTTTTTCCGGGATAACTGAAGAGAAAGTGATAAGTAGTGGATATACGAAGCTGATATTGAAGGTGCTGGTCCGACCACTTGCCTAGGTTAGCAGGAGTGAAACCATATACATGTTCTGTCTGGTCTGGTGTGGTAAATCTTGTTCTCAAAAAACACTTTTTTTTTTTTCCCTGCTCTGAAGGGATTTGAAAAGGGAGAAGAAACTAAAGCCTGTGTAGGAATTAAGTTAATTCACTGACTTTTTCTTGGGCGGCCAGTGGTACTTCTGGCACTTGGGTTAGTTTTGGGTACCCTTGGGGCTTTTCCTTGGCAGCACACAAGGTTCTCATGAATTGAACCCCTTTTTTATTTTTTTAACCACTATCTATTCATTCACATGCAGAATCTCTAAATGACAAAGCTTTGGCTGTTATTTAAACCATTAAGTCTCGTAGAAGATGATTCTGTGACAGGTGAAGACCAAGTTCATGGTAGCTGAGTTAGAGCGCTCATGCAGTTGTTACCTAACTACAGGTAGCTAACGGGTTTTGTCAGGGTTTTCCAATAATGAAGTAGTTAAGTGCTACAGGCTGATGTGTAAATTAAAATACACAATTTACATGGTCATCATGCCCATAACCTTTTTTCATGAGCTGCAACTCTGTTTTAGGACATTTTGAGATGCACAAAACGTAAAGCCACTGTGAAGCTTCATAATAGAACTTTATAATACTGTATGATGAGACTTCACAGGTGAATATTACTGCTTGACTATCTCTGAAAGGGTGTCCGTGGCCATGAAAGTCCAGATTGCTTCTGGCACATGGGGGTACTTTTTTTCCCGTGGCATCCAGTTTCTAATCAAAAATTATTTGTATGCTGTGGCCATAGGCAGCTATTACACCGTCAGAAAGCTTTAGGGTCATGTAATTGTAATTCCTCATTCTAACTGACTTGGACCATAAAATGCATTTAATCACTGCTTTTGTAGGTAAGCTACTGCTGTGATTTACCCCTGTTTCATATGCTCATGTGTAGGTAGGAAATGTATTCTGTCATGTTGAATGGAAGGGACACCACTACCAGAAACTTCCTCAAAATAATGGTACTTAAATAAACAAGTCTGAAAATCTGCTGGTTTGTGAGAGACGGTGATATCCTGAGTCACCTGTGGGGAGACTAGGTATTAAATATGCACTTCTAAAGATATTTCTTCACTTAAAGTAAGCCTTATGGTTCTTTTAGGGAACTGCCTTAAGATCAGGAGATAGAAAGACCGGTATAGAAATATTCTGAGTAAAGCTTATGATACTATCTAACCCCTTCGAAAGTGTCACTGAGGAAAAATAAATTATTTTCTGTGTTTATTTGTTTTCATGTACTGGGCTATGGCCAACTCCACCCATCCTCACATTTCATAAGAAAATATTTTTTTAAGTGAAATAAATGTCCAGCACATGAAAGAAATAAGACAAACTGGAACCTGTGCAAGGGAGCCCAAAGGAATCTAATAGTTCATTTGTTCCCTGTGGTCGGTGCCTTATGACTGTAGTGCTGAAGTTTTGTGCATGAGAGAGCCACTTAGAAAACCAACTTTGAGTGTTTTGTCTAATTCTTCCTCCTTTCCTCTTGGGGCTGTGCAGTTCGACAGGAGCAGGAGCTACGGAATGGAGGGGCAGTAGATAAGAAGCTCACGACTCTGGCCGACCTCTTCAGGCCTCCCATTGATCTGATGCACAAAGGCAGTTTTGAAACGGTAAGCCTGGAACTTTGGCTGCAGCTACTTACCTGATGGCTTTGTACCAAGAAAAAGCCCTGGATTAGGCCGTTGGCTGACGGATCTATCCATAGATCCTTTTGTAGGTCTATTTGGATCCATCCTTTTGTATAGTAAGTTACCAGGAACCGTGTAATGAGCAATGCTTGTCTGCTGCACTGCATGTTGCTGGTGATGACTTGGGGAAGGATTTAACAAAGACAATGGACTGCTGACGTTTAAATGTAGCACTAAATGCAAATTCTGTGTTAAATCTTTAGTTAAATCCTGTGGCTAAAACAGCTTCTGATACCCAACCTGGTACAGATAATCTGTCTGTACACGACTTTGTTTCTGCACCTGAAGTTCATTTGCAGTAGAGGTCTTGTTTTTGTACAAGATCATGATGGTTGTCTTTTGCACCTGGTAGGATAAAATGCTCAAGAGATTCTGACAAAGATGCTGGTACCTTTCAGTAATTTTAGGTGTCACCTTTTCTCTCTGTGGGCCTAGTCATAAGCTAGGATTTGGATCTAGTGACCTAAATCACGGTTAGAGACTACACAAATCAATGTATCTTTTCAGTTTTTATTTTCTAACTGCCAGATATTCTTACTTCAGAACTTGAAACAAGTACTGAACTTTCCACTTCAAGTAGTTAAGTATTAGAGAAGATCTCTATGAGAACGCAAACTGGCACTTAAATGGTGCACCACAGGTGCTGCAAACGATGCTGGAGATCTGAGCCCGTGAGCTGAACCAAAACCTTCTTTGGTACTGGGAAAGACTTCTTTCCTTTTGTGTGCAGAGTCTAGTAAAGTTGACTCTAAACTCCTTCCTTATGTTTAATTTCCTAACAAATTGTGGGTTTGAAAGAATGCTAATGGAGAACAGTGATGTCTATCTCAACAGCTAATTTAAGTGACTAGTTCGGTGCAATAGAAGCGGATCAGTAGATTGACCAAGTGCTGAGGCATCTGTGTGACGATATGTGGTTCAGAGCTTGCTTGGTCCCCTGGTGGAACATCCCCGCCAGACCTGTTCTGTGAACCAAACAAATGTGAGGTTAAGAGGAAGCAGTAAGGGGAGTCCACTTAAAAACAGATGAAACTGTATCCCCAACGAGCAATCACTCTCCTGTCTCTGCTGCGGAACTCGAAACGTGTACGCGTCTTCCTTTATGTCTTGCTGAAAATATTGAGACCTCAGTAGGTCCTTTCTGCCATAGTCAAAATAGTTTCAGCCTGTGAAATAACCAGTTGATGGATTTGACTCTCTGTAAGGCTCTACCTTCTTATTTAGCCTCATTAATTCAGAAAAGAATCCTTTTGTACATACACACTTTGTCCTACTCTTTGTAGTAACTCAAATGCAGAGAGACTCTGCTTTCTGGCATTGACATTCACCTTTTTATGCTCTTGTACAATCCTTCATCTCATGGACTAACCTTGATTGCAAAGGGATGCTCCTCAACCTCCTTGCAATAAAAATCTTCTCAATTTGTTGATCAAAACCACTTCCATTTTTACATTAATGGCTTGGTGCTGCAGAACTACTCTACAGCTCAGGATGGTGCCTGGCCTCCTGTGGACCTCCTGGTTGGAGTGAGTCTTGCTCAGAATTCACCTCTGGCAAACTTGTCTGAGCTTTGTGACTTACTCTGCTTCTTCCTTCACTGTGCCCTCAATAAACCTACATAAATTAAATAATAAACAGAGGTCTTTATTGCTTTTCAAAGGCATTTCAGTGCTCTCGTGTGTTAGGATTAACTTAAGCATTTTGGGGAGGGGGAGTTGTGGTGTGTGGTCTAGTTGAAACTCCCTGGAAGGGGTGTGCAAAAAGCTCTCTGAACATTGCCATGCACATTTATGGCTTTTATTCAAACTTCAATCCAATGTAGAAAGTCTCTGTTCATATTAAGTTTCCTGTATCTTTGTTGCTCATCTTTCTTTTACTCCTGCCCAGGTTATCTAACTTTGATATTAAATACCTTCAGTTATTTAATTTTATTTATTTATTGACAGAAAAACTCAATTACTTTCAAATGCAAAGAAACTTTCTTAGCAGGAAAATGCATAAAGCTGTGGTTTCCTTTCAGGTCTGTAATTCCAGCTTTTAAGAAGAGTTGAGAATCGTTTTTCTTTGAAGAGACATTTTCAAGTGTTGAATGAGCACTGATTTTTTAAAAACTTATAATCCGGCAATGAGTAGTGTGCTTCACGTATAGTACAACTTAGGAGCATTGTACTTGTAAAGCGAAGTATATGTTTAACTGAATTACACCATGGAAAGTGAGATGTGGAAAAGTTTAGAGGCTGCAAATCTGTAAAAGATTTTATTTTAATCCTGCAGGTCTTTTGCACATGACAGCTGAGTCCCTGGATGTTAGTTAGTTAGTAGCCAGTGGGAATGAGGCCACATAAACCAGAGGCAAATGAGTCTTTCTCCTATTGGAAACCCCAGAGAGACTTTCAGGGCTTAAATATTTGGTGTCACCAAGAAGTCTGTATTTGACAAGTGTTGTATCTATATAATGAGGCTCTTACTCTCTGCCAAGACTCTGAAGAGTTGGTTAAGTTTGTACAAGGAAATTTAACTGGCATTTCCTGACTGTGATAGTGAGCTTCATTGTAGTGTTAAGCTTCATGGTTGTTATCTCTTTAACATAGCATTTCCTAGGAATGCATCAAGCACCAAACCCTCTTGCTACTGAAGCATGTGGTTATGTTCTAGCGTCAAAAACTTGATTTCAAGAATTTAATTTGAAAATAGAAATGTGTCTTTTCATAAATCACACATTCTGTGATGCGATTGAATTCCTGGAGGGGTCGCAGTGGGTTCACACAATTTAGTGCCTTTCCATATGGGGAGCAGATAGTCAGAAGGATTGAGGTTGGAAATGACCTCTGGAGATCAGCTAATGTGCTGCCTGTAGCTCCTCCCTGCTTTCAGCTCACAGTGAATATTTCCTTTGTGTGTTGCAAGCAGATAGAGTTTGGAAGTGAATCTCCTGCTTGTGTAAGGCTCTTTGCTGGCCATCAGTGCATGTATAACCTCCAGATGAACCACTGGGACAGCCGGTTGACGTGGACGCTTGTGTGGTCCTTCCTGCTGGTCCAGGCAAGAAGTGTAAGTCTGGCATGGACAGAATAGCTCCTGTTCACAAGCAGATCTCATGTCCTGACTTGCCGTAATCACTCTCTTCCTAAATGGCCTCTGCTTGACTAGCAATGGTCTAGATGGTCATGAGGTGCTGGCTCTGCTCCCTTGTTCCTCTCTGTACTGTGAAGAGCAGTGTGTTTCAACCAAGCTGAAAAGGAAGAAGCACCACAATGATTCCTCCTTGTTTAAGGAGGAGAACCTCTAGACAACGGCTAAAAGTTTTGTCCTAGGGTACTTTTCCTGCAGGACTCCTTGGCAAAGGAAAGACCCTGCTGAAGGAGAGCAGGATTAGAAATTTTTAAGTCGTGCACGTTGCAGAAAAGTCAGGTGAGGGAATAAATTGTGTCACTGATGGGAGTACAAGAGCTTGGTGTTACCCATTAAAAGCAAGTAGCAAGCGTAAAACATGGCTTTTTTGCAAGTTGCCTGACCCACAACATATTTAGAAACCCACAATATTCCTCCCCTTTCCCCTCCCTGCTTCCCCCCTCAGAAACAGAGCCAGTGGCTGGCTAAGAGCACGGCTGTGTCCGTTCACTAGATGGCAGCAGTTTAACAGTGTCCTTTCAAATGTCCTGCTGTTTTTAGAAGGAAGGTAAGAGTGGTTTCAAGAGCTCTGCTTGCTTTCGGTGCCCAAACCCGTCTTCATAAATGTTCCATGTGGATTTTCTGTGTCTGCATCCCTTAAAGAGGGTGTTAGCTGGACAGAGGAGAGGTAGGGTCAGATTTTCACCCGTGTTGAGGAATATACAAAGTAGAAGAATAAGTCGCACTTTCTGGCTTTGCTAGGGGCATATAGTTATGGTAGAAAATGGGATTAGAGGTATAATCCTTTTTTTATTATTATTATTCCTTTTGAGTTTGTTCTTTTAATCCAGCACAGATTAGGTTAGGGCCTAAGACTAAAGCGGGCTGATAGACTTAAGATATATCTTGATCTGTGTTCGCTTTAACCCGGGGCAGTACCTCTAGACCTCTCTGTAAACGGCTTGCCTGAAATTACCTTTCAAAATCCCTCATTAGCTCAAAACACCCTGGAATTAAAAGCCTAGTAAACCCTGAGTAAAAAAAAAAAAAAAAAAAAACCCTGAATATTTTTTTAGGTCTCCCACCCTACTTATGCGTTCTGACGAAATACTGGATTTTGAGACTGGAGTGATAGTAGTGAGAAGTTAATGTGAAGTCACTCAGGGGATCAGTATGGCTCTTCCATACTTGTTGTCTTTTTTTTTTTTTTTCCTTTTCCTGTAATGTTCTTTTCTGTGAGTAAAAGAAAAATCAGCCCTGCAGGTCATTGGGCCGTGCAGAGTAATTTTTGTAGACTGAGATCCTGTGATCAAAGAATGACCTTTATATGCTTTAATAGCTACAATTTTAACAGTATTGAGTGTTGCATTTTACCAAGCTGAATATATGGGCTTCACACATCCCAGTATTTGTGTCACATAGACTGACTGTTCAAAAGTACACAGGCCAGCATTCACTATAACAATAGAGCTTTGGTTTGGGGAGCAAAATACTGTCAAACCCAGAAAAATTTCACGCAAAATCCAAATTCCTCAAATTATTTGCTGTTAAGGGCAATACAAGCAAGACGGTGAACACACTTAGAATACGTTCGTATGCTAGTTCCAGTCTCTCCAGGTGGTAAGAGCATTCCTTCTGTTGATATAGCCCTCTTTTTTTCAACAGGTATTGGCAATTCAGCGATCAGAATTACATTCTTGATCAAACTCCTACCATTAACCAACCTATCAGACAATGCCAGCTTTGTGACTCAAACCAGTAAGATTTTTCTCCTGCACCTTCCCATCTTCCTCCCCACTTAACAGCCCGGATCTCCAGCAGCGAAAACCGTCTTAACTTGCCAGGTGCCCCTGAAGTAGAGAGGAAAAAAAGAAAGAAAGAGCGTGCAGAGAGGGCGACCTGGCCTATTTATGCAAGTTGGCCATCAGTTGTGCTGTCCTGTTTGAACAGAAAATGATCCACAGGTTTATCTTAAGAGTGAGCAGGTCTTTCCTCTGTTGTCAAATCGGTGCGATTGACTACACTCTTCCCAGAGCAAATACGGAATTTGCAGTTGTTTTGTTTGTTTATTTATCCCCCCTGCCCTGCTCCTCAAGTCGCTTTTCGCACTCCGCGCTTGGCTTGTTGAAACCCAGCGGCTTTGCTCATCGATGTGGTCCTGTAATTCAACTGGTCTCATTCAAGCAGGTCTTTTCAGCCCTGCCTTCTGTTTTTGTGGATGCCTTTTTTTTTTTTGCTAGCTCTGTCCATCTTTTTCACTGCAAAAGGGTTTTAGGGAAAAATCCAACCGCGTTAGAAGCCATCGCTGATCATTGCTGGCAGTGTTTGCATCCAGCTCCTCTGTGTGGGCTCATGAAGCTTTTCTCTCTGCTTGCAGGCCAAGGAGTGCGGTCAGATGCAGAACAAATGGCTCATGATAAACATTCAGAACGTGCAAGATTTTGCATGTCAGTGTCTCAACCGCGATGTGTGGAGCAATGAGGCTGTGAAGAACATAATCCGGGAACACTTCATTTTCTGGCAGGTGAGAAATGCCATGGGGGCTGTAGTAGTCAACCTGATGCCTTCTTAGATGGGTGTATTTGTACCTACTCTGTATGTTTGCAGGATGGTTTGTGTCCCCTCCCAACCTGTCCCCTGCAATAACTTGCTTCTGATGTGGTATTCCGTAGGTATACCATGACAGTGAGGAAGGACAGAGGTACATACAGTTTTATAAATTGGCAGACTTCCCTTATGTCTCCATCCTGGATCCCAGAACAGGTAAGACAAGGGACCGTCATCTGCAGTGTATATATCCTGTAAGGGGATACATATAATATATATATATAGTATTTGTAGGCTCAAATACTGTCTTTGGCAGCATTTTTTTTTAACTGAACAGTCAGACTTCTTTGTTCACCTCCAGGTCTTTTTAAATTATAGCTTAATTTTCTGTGTCCCCAAAGCTTTGTCTCTTGTGTTCATGTAATCTACAGTATCAGCAGGTACTGCTGCTCAGAACTAAAATAATTGCATTCATGCTGTTTGATGCAAACCACCCCAAAAATAGTTCTCTGCAACCAAAGTTAGAGTATTCTTCTTAGCACTTTACATTATGGAAACAAATTCTATTTGCCAACATGCAGAATCAAAGCAGGCAAGAATGTAGAAATCCTTATCAGTTTAGTTGGTTTTCTTTGTTTGTTTTTTTTAGTTATGGCACATAATTCACCACTCTTCACACGCATTCCCACAGGTATAGGAAGTTGTTAACAAGCTCATTAAAGTAGGTTTCTCCTTATGGCAATACAGGAGTGAAACCATTTCAAGGTGCTATAGGGAGGAGATGTAACTATCAGGAGGTGGCCTGCAGGAAGCTGATGTTCCCCAAATGCAGACATATACACAGTGTGTGCAAAGCAGAGAATGTTTGTTTGGCAGCTAAGCTACAATGTTTGTTTGGCAGCTAAGCTACAATGTTTGGAGGGCTGTTGCTGAAGTTCTATTCCGTGATGCCTTCTTTTCCCTAGGCCAGAAGCTAGTGGAGTGGCACCAGCTCGATGTAACTTCGTTCTTGGACCAAGTGACTGGGTTCCTGAGTGAGCATGGACAACTGGATGGACATTCGACTAACCCTCCCCAAAAATGTTGTCGTTCTGTAAGTATGAGAAACTTGAGGGAAAGCTGGTGTGCCTGTATGCAGTCATAGTGTTTTCTCATGTTTAGTATAAAAAGATAGAATGAATTAGAGCACGAGCATGCAAAAATAAGAAGATGGTGCATCAGAAAGCACCTTCTCCTCTGAGAATTATTTTTGTTATGCGAGTTGTGCTTTCAGCGTTCGTTTTGAATTTAGTGGTCACAGAATGTGCGTGTGTAGAATGGGAAAAATACTGCTGAAAATAACACGTCAAGTGACTGCGAGGAGAGATCCTGAAGCACCGACTGCATGAGTGGCCTTCCACATGGCAGCTTTGGTAGCTTCCCTTTGGAACACTTTGGTACAAATGTATGCCTTTTTTCTGATGCTTTTTTTGTGTTATGCCTGTGTTCAACAGGAGAGCCTCATCGACGCCAGTGAGGACAGCCAGCTGGAAGCTGCCATCAGAGCCTCGTTACAGGAGACCCATTTTGATTCCTCACAGGCCAAGCAGGAAGCTCGGTCAGACGAGGAGTCTGAATCAGAGCTTTTTTCCGGGAGTGAAGAGTTCATTTCGGTGTGCGGATCGGAGGAGGAGGAGGAATTGGAGAATCCTGCCAAGTTGAGGAAATCTCCACACAAGGACTTGGGGTATAAAAAAGAAGAGAGTCGGAGGCTGCAGCCTGAGCCCCCTGCAAGGACAGAGCCAGGTACAACGTCAAATCATCGAGTCCTGCCCTGCATCGATGCAGGGATCCTGGAGGAGTCAACTGACAAGCCTGAAAGTACCTTGCAAGGCTTAGATGTGAATGGTGAGTTACCACATTTAGTTTTGATAGTAACTTGCAAGTGTTTTAGTCTTTTTCTGATATACATATGTATATATTTATAAAAAATCTAATCTATCTATCTATTATTAGCAAGCATTTGGAGTCTCTGTTCCTCGCAGCAATTCTGAGCCGGAGTGTAGCGAGTTACGGTGATCAGATACGGTATCTGATCTGAAAGGCAAAGGATAGCACAGTTTCTCTGGGAATGCTGATATGTATCAGTCACTAACTCTTCCAGAAGTCCCAAGTTTGATGTATGCATTTGAATTGTGTGCAGACTGAAATGTTGTGCACCAAAAAAAAACCCACAACATTGTTAGGTTAGGGACTCAAGATGTTGTATTTGTCTCAAGTCCCTAACCCCATTGCTGTATGCAGTAAAATGTGCTGCCCAAAGCCTGCAGAAGAGCTCAACTAGGCTGCCTTGCTGTTTGTTCACTTGTAGTAACTTCCTTTATGCCAGGACCAAAGGCACAGCTGATGCTACGGTATCCAGATGGAAAGAGGGAACAGATTTCACTGCCTGAACAAGCTAAACTTCTGGTGAGTGGAGTTCATTGGAGTTCATAAACCCTTGTTTAACTACAGGACAGCTGAAACTGAACCATTTATCCTGTGCTGGCACTATCAAAGTTTTATCCAGTGAAAGGGGTGTGTCCAAGGAGTGCTTGCACTGTCATCCTGTCGTGTTTCCTTTTTTTGCCGTATTCTTTCACACTTAGAATCTCTGCAGTGTTTGAAGAGGTCATCGTAGTCCTCTTAGCTGTAAGTTTTCATGAGACACTGCCCAGGAAAATTCATCTTTGTGCTGCAAAGTCTTAGGTACCTAAAAACAAGACTGTGCCTTTTCAAAGGACCTTGCATGGACTAAGAAGGAACCTAAGCAAAAAGCTTTGGTTATATCTCTGAAGAACATGAGACTATAGCCTAGACTGTAACACTTTGCATGTGACAATGGATTTTACTTGTAGAGCTTTTGTGCTCTCATAAGACATGAGCCTTATTTAATTTTTTTAATCAGATGATTAAAAAAAGCCATTTTAATTTTTTAAAGCCATTTCAGACAGATAAAGGTTGAGCCTCAGATATTTCTTACCAAGCATCATATTCATGCTGATTTTTTTCAGCCCATAGTCACTTCAATTTTAAAGCTGTCCTGAAATATAGCAAACAATTATCTAAATAGGTCTTTGTACCTTGAAGTTTTAACTTATAAGTTGTTCTCCCAGCACTATTGAATGTTTTTGAGAACAGGCTTACCACCATTACTTTCGTACTGATCAAGAATGGCTTTTTTACACTGTTATCTCCAGGACATGCTTATATTTCCAATATTACTGTTACCCTTTTCTCCCAGGTATCCCAGAAATCAGAGTGGTGAGAGAAAACAAGGGCAAAAAATCCCACCTCCCACATGTCTGTCCGATTCTGCTTAGGACTGGGGTTCATGTTCTGACTCCCCTTAGCTTGTAAAGCAAGAATGTTTTAGGGCAATTTCCCCCTCTGGATTGCTGTGGGAGAGCCGAAGTGACAGTTAAAGAGCAAGTGGAAGTGGGGTGAATGATGAGGAGGAGTTTCCTGCTGCTGATTTCCCTCCTTACACGTAATTCACTGGTGTGGCATTTGGTTTGAGGTCGGTATCTCTTCATCCCCATCCCCTATTACGCGAGAAGACTCGGTTAGGTGAGGGGCTCGCTTGATAATTAGCCTCTCTGATGAGGCATGCCACGTGAGGGCCAAATTAGAATCTCTATTATATACAAAATGTCCAGATTTTCATTCTGTGTGATTGCAGACCCTTTTTTTTTTTTTTTTTTTTTTTAAGGTATGGGGATATTTTTGTGACCTTCCGATTTTTCAGTTAACTAACTCCTCTTTGCCTCTTCTCCTCTGCAGGCTCTTGTGAAGCACGTGCAGTCGAAAGGCTACCCCAACGAACGCTTCGAACTCCTCACCAACTTCCCTCGGAGGAAACTCTCCCACCTGGACTATGAGATCACGTTGCAGGAGGCAGGCCTGTGCCCTCAAGAGACTGTCTTTGTGCAAGAAAGGAATTAGCACTGTGGCCTGAGCTCTCCCAGCCCTCCCTCCTCTCCGCCTGGGGCACTGACTCATTCAATACGCAGTTGAGGGTCACAGGATCGCAGCGCTGAAATCAGGCAGGCAGCTGGCTGGCCCTTCTCTCTCTCCTTTCCTTCTCCCTAATCTAGTGACCAAATGAGAACGTTTGGTTTGGTTTTTTCCCCAGCTTGGGCCCTGGGGAAGAGCATTGGGAAGAACATCTCTGTGGGGAAAAACATCTTTCCTTTGTTTTGTTTTGTTTTTTTTTTAATGGAAGAAAATAAAAGGGTAATCTGTGCAGCCAGTATGCTGGGGCTTGGAGCAGCCGTAACATACAAACCCTTCTCGCTGCTGTTCTGAAATCTATTCTGTTTAATTTATTAAAAAAAAAACAAAAAGAAATGCCGCATGATGAGGCACAGAGTCATCTCTCTGCAAGGGGAGAGCGTAATCTCAAGTAGGGCCCGACCTTCATTTTTACCCTCTACGCAGAAGGTCTCTGTTAACCTTCCGGCCTCCTCACGGAATCGCTTGTCCAGCACCTGCGGAAAACCTGGTTGGGGCAGGGCCTGGGGTGCTGAGCTGTGTTCAGCTGCTCTGCTCCCATCTTGTTTAAAGGCTTCTGTAACCCCTGCCTATTTTGTTCCTGTTTTAAATACTGCTGGTGAACGTGTTCAGAAAAAAAAAAAAAACAGGCATACTCAAAAGAGGATTAACTGCTTGGCCCAGAGGGATAGCAGCTTCTCTGCTATTTTAGCAGAATTACCTCGTTTTATAAGAGTAGGTGAAGGTTTCTCTCCCCCACACCCTACAAGACTCCTCATGTTGACTTTCAGGGTTTTACGCATGGAAGGTGGCAGGATGCTTAAAGGCCATAGAGTCTCCAGGAAACACCCATCATAAAGCTGACGGTTAGTTGGCTTTTTTGTTTGTACATTTTTTTTTTTTCCCCCCAGAGTCAACGAGCCTTGCAGGGGCTTTGGAGCTCGGCGCTAGGGCAGGAAGGTTCCCTTGGGTATTTAAAATCATACGTGGAGCCTTGTTGGACTGCAGAAGGAAGCAGGGTGTTATGAAAGGTTTTGTAGTCAGGGCGAACTCTCACGTGCTTCTTATTCCATTTTTGACACAGCCATCCTCAAGACTAATGTTGAAGCAGAGCGTTTATTTGCAATTGAGAGCTCGGCAGGCATGCCCTTCACTAGTGAAGAAAAAAGCAGTGTAAAGGTAACTTTTCCCTAGACAAACAGGGAGAAGGTGTATGTTACATCAAGAAGCAGTGGACTCTCCCTGCTAGGGAGCTCCATGCAGAGCGTTGGAGAGCCCTCACTTCGGGACATGACATTGTCAGGTAATAGTATTGGCTAAAGGAAAAGACTTAGTGATCGGAAACTTATTATAGGGTAATGTTTTTCTGAATATTTTGCCTTAAATTTCATACTTGCCTGCATGTTTTGAAGTCTTGAAATGTAAGAAATGATGGAGTACACGTGACAGTCCAGATGGTGGTGTTTGCTCACAAATGTCCTCTGCTCCTTTTACATGGAATCAGAAAATTGTATCAATTCATTTCCCTTCAACGTGAAATCTGTTCCGCTGCAAGATACGGGGTTGCAAAAGCAAAACATGACAGCAGCTTCCTGCTCGGCTAGGATTGTGAAATCCAACACTGCTTTTGGGCTACAAAGAGATCCTTCTGTGGTGGCCATTTCAGAGATAGCCCAAATGCATCCCTGAAAGAGTTTCTGAAACCCTTTTTTATTTTTCCCAAGAGCTAAAAATACTAAAGCTGCGAGGCAGCTGCCAAAAGCTGTCATCTCACACAGGCCACCCTGTGATCAGATGCAAAACTGGGAGCCTTGGGGGTAGTTTTTCAGTGCTCTTTTATGTGAGAGCAGCTCGTTCACCTCTTGCAGAAGCAGGTAATCATTGGATGTTGAAGTACTGCAGCCAGCTGTTTATTAATCCACCAAAATATGCCTCAATATGGCAAGTGTTTTTGGCCACTAGTATAGTGGAGCGAGGAGAACTTGCGCTCTCATTTTTGTTTTGAGGAAAAACCTCATTTCTTGAGGTTTTATGTGGAGAACGTATCTTTTTACAGACAGAGGGAAATAAGGATGTGAAATGCAAGATCTAACCTGAAGATGGTTTTTTTGTGTGTGTGTCTGGGGATAAAATGGAAACTATTTTTGTCATTTCCCAGCAATTTGGAGTATTTCTTTGCCTAGGATATGCTGATCTTGGATTTTGTTCTGCCTCACCAATGTACTTTTTTCCCGTTTCCTTGCTTTGCTTTGTGACTGGGAGGCAGGGAGAAGTTGTAAAGGGGGAAGTGACCCTGCATGTGGACTCTTCTCCCCCTTGGTTCCTCTCCCCTCTTCCCATAGCCGCAGTAAAACCAGTGCCACAGCACATGCATTGGTCAGCTCCCTTGTGGAGGCTGAAGACTATTAAGAAACATCACTGACCTCTTCAGATTTTCATCCGTATTGAAGCCCCTTCCCTAAGGATGTGGCAGAGAACATCAAGCGGGTTGGGTGTGCAGCTCTTTTCAATACTAACAGCATAAATAAGCTCATTCAGGTTATTTGAAAAGTCTCTTTAAAAAGAGGCTTTGTCGACATTGCTTCCAAATATTAAAGATGAAGTAAAGGCTAGATGGAAAACGTTGGGAGAAGAAAACACATTGAGCTCCTCATTGCAAACGTAGGTGTTGTTTGAAGTATAAATCAAGTAGCCCCTCAAAGTCTGGGTTTTGCACCTTCTTGGGAGTGTTTTTCCACCTTGCTTTGCATGCTGTGTCACGAGAGCTGCTGGAGATTCAGTGGAGCTGCTGACGCCTCTGTTGCTGGATTCCTCCCTCATAGACCCAGGGAAGGGTCTCAGCTCTCCTGGTAAATAACATGCTCTAGGTCAAGCTGGTTGACCAACTTTAACCTTACAGCAGGTTGGGTTTCTGAGGGTAATTGCATTATTTTCTGTGGGCTTTGAACGTAGGTTTGCAGTTTTTACCCTTCAGACCCTAATATACTGAACTATGTTGTCTTCATAAATCAGATAAGGTGCCGTTGAAATGCCAAAGGGGTGTGTTTATGATTGCATGACAGCGTTGTAAATCCTGGTTTTCATTAAAGAAGAAATTCTAAGGGATAGGGTCATTATTTTACCCCTTCATCTTAAATAATGAGCTTTTCTTTTTTTTCCACATTAAATAACTTTTAGAAACCTTTCACTGATTTATTCTGATTTAATTCCGTTCAAGTGAGTAATAAATTCTGGTTTAATCCCAATCAAGTTGGTAATACATAGGTAGCCCTGTATGGAGGGATGCAATTTTGGTAGGTGACGTGCAGAATCTAAGTGACGTGGAGATGGGATGCACCCCCCTCTCCTCCTCATGTTTTGCAGAAATTATTTCTGCTAAACGGAAATAATTTTTTACCTCTTACCTTTTAAAAAGGTAAAATAGAGAGAAATACCAAGGCATGTTTCAAACCTTGTATCAGCCATTTATATTGTCAGGAATTCCCCGTAGTTTGGGTTGACTGAGCATTTCTCGTTCCCTGGCTGTTGAGGCCTCCGCATGCTCCTGCTTCCTGCTCCGTGTGGATCATCCTGTAAAGCCTTTCTCCGAGTTCAAGGTCCTGCTGTAGTTTGGTTGGAGTCTGCTCTTCGCTCCTGCACCTGAGCTCAATGGGCACGTGCTCTGTGGTGTTGTACGGGATGAGCTGTATTCCAGCCTCTTCCCGGCCCTGAGATGATCCATGTCTGTCCACCCCCAATAAACATAGCCATATATATATAAAAAACTATAAACATATATATTTTTAATCAGGCAATGTGGCACTTAACATCAGTGCCTCGAGTTGCCTCAGTAAACCTGTTTTTTTACGTCACTAGGTGACCGGTGTTTGCGGAAGTTTGGATTTGGTCACTGTCAGGAGCTACTGTGAGTGTCTGCAGTTCTGTAACGGCTTGTTCAATGGTGCTGAAACTTTAAGCTATAGAAGGATGGATAGTAAAAATACATGGAGAAAGGGGTGAGGTGCTATTTTATAGAACAGCTTTATGCGAACAAAATGGGGGAAAACTCAACTCACAGTATGGTGCCTAATTGGAGACACCAGATTATAGAATATATATATATATTTTTAAATGAATCCATTTTCTCTGTTTAGTGAATTTACAGATTCTGAATTATGACTTTGCCCATCAATTTTTACAGTAGTGGCTTTTTTTTTCCTTCAAAGATGCAACATGTGGGAGGAGGGAGAGAATTAACTTTCAGCTCCCTGTGCTGGGAGGGACCAAACTCAAGGAAACCTCTGATCTATATACACAACTGCTGCGGTTTTTGGGGTTTTTTTTGGTTTTTTTTTTGTTTTGTTTGTTTGTTTTTGTTTTTTTTTATATAAATATATGTAAATGTCCTATTGTAATATTTGATCCTGGAAATAAAGCAAACTGTTTTCAGTAGTTTTCTTCCTCTCTTGTTTTCCTTTTGCATTTTGGGGTTTTTGTTTATTTGTTTCTAATGGGAGTCTGTGTCCCTGTATTAGGTGGAGGGTTTTTAAGTTTTCGCTCAAGTTTATGGGGCAGAAGGAAGGAAAATCAATACTGAGTTGCCTGTTTTTGTGAATCTGAATTTTTAGTGAAATTACCAATTAGGTGTGTCTATTTTTCCTTTGCTAGTGCTCTAAGTCTTCCCTTGACAGAATAGCTCTTGGTGTGGTACCTTCTACTGAGCCTCTGGAATAGTAAGTACTATTACATTGAGGAAACTGAATAGGAGTCGGGCTGTTCCTGTTGCCTTTCCCTCCTCATGGAAGAACAGAGAATACAGCACGTGTTCTATTCCGAAGCCTCAACGTCCTCATGGGCTCCTTACGGTTAAGGTGGTGCCTTGAGCCTTTGTAATTCTCTTTTGGGTTCCGTGAGACATCTTATAACTGCCTCACAAGAAGTGACACCAGCCTTCTTGGAAGTCATGATTATGGCTTCCTCCTTTTTGTTTGGTTATTTTTTGCTTTTTTGTTTTGTTTTATTTATTTCTTTATTTTGGTTTTATCTAAAATAAAACTTAACTGGAGAAGACAGGAGGGATCCAAATCTTCCAGCGTTTCCTTATCTGGTGGTTACCAAACTCTACCTCATCCCTATGCTGGGGACGTCCTCCCTTCCGGACAAGCATCCAGCAGGTACAGTGAAGTCATTAAC